AGATCTCATAATAGCATTAATAGGGCTTTTTTTTTTTTTTTTTATTTTATTTATTTTTTGGTTTCTCTCTTTCGCATGCGTATCTCTCCATTTTCTAATTTTTATTGCATATTTTTTAGCATATATCTATAGAGGACCATGGCAAGTGCTGGTGGAATTGTACAGGACAGTGGGCATATGTACCTGGGTGAGTGATACCTTTGACTTATCAATTTTTAACCTTAGAACCCTCTAGGCTTTTACCCTCAAAAATATATCTTAATCCACAGTGATTTGGTTTTAGTTAAAAAATTAATAAGGAAATTTCTATTTTGTTAAATTTTGTGTAAACTTAATCATAGATTAAAAATTATTATTTTAATAAAATTAGAAGAATCTCTATCATGTTTTCGACTGAATTTTTTTTTTTTTTTCTAAATGTTTTGACTAATTTAATCATTAGAATCATGCACTTTTTTAATGTCCCATGTACTAAGCTTAGCCATAGTACACTTGTGTTATTCTACTAAAATTCCAACAAAATCCGAGAATTGATTGTTTTGTATACTTTTCAAAATCAAGTTTTTCAAAGAGTTTTGTTTGCACTCTAAAATAAAATTTTATGTTCGATCATTTTTAACTACTTTAGAGTTCAAGTATAAATAATGTTGGAGCAAACTTGGAGAAATGTCCCCAACTAGAACATTGCTACTTTTACGTTACTTTCCTTTTCCATGTATTTTCCTTTATCTGTAATTTCCTTAGGAGTAGTGTTGTAGTTCAATCAAAATTCCTTTACTTGTAACATTGTACTGGAATTCAACTTATGGAATAAAAAATTAGATGTTTGGCTTTTATCTCCTCCATCTGTTATTTTATAAGTTTTTGAATATGATGAATACTTGTGCAATTTCTTTTGCTCCATTAATCGAATCCTTTTTTTATTTTATAAGTTTTGATGAAAAAAGTGGAAATTTTTAAGAAGAAAAAAAGAAGAAGGAGAAGAAATAAAAAGAAAACAATATAAGAGAATTTTGAAGAGAAAAAATAGGTTTTAATTGAAGAAAGAGAATGCAAATTTTTTTGATGAGAATAAAAAGAAATTTGATGAATACTTGTGCAATTTCTTTTGCTCCATTCATTGAATCCTTTTTTATTTTATAAGTTTTGATGAAAAAAAGTGGAAATTTTTAAGAAGAAAAAAGAAAAAAAAAAAAAGAAGAAGAAGGAGAAGAAATAAAAAGAAAACAATATAAGAGAACTTTGAAGGGAAAAAATAGGTTTTAATTGAAGAAAGAGAATGCAAATTTTTTTAAAGAGAATAAAAAAGAATTTGAAGAATAAGAGTAAGAAGGAAAAGAATTAAATAAAATTTTTTTTTCTGGAATGAATTAAGTAATTTAATGGGGGCAATTTATAAATTTTTGGGGGCATTTTATAAATTTTTACTATGGATAGAATAAAATAAAATTTAGTGGGCTACTGTTACAAGAGTGGACTTGTCCCATATCGGATTCGGATGAGAAAGCGATTGGGTATAAATGGGTGGGTTTGTATAGGGATGGCAATGGGGCGGTTTGGGGCAGGTTTCCCATTCCCCATCCCAGCCCCCATTTAATTTTGGTGCCCCCAAAACCGGTTAATTTTTTGCCTCTAATCCCCATAACCAGTCCCGCCCCCGCCCCCCGCCCCATAACCAATTATATTTTTAGGGCAACTCATGTTAGCCTCCCCAGTCACCTCCATCTCTATTCTCGTTCTCAACTCTGAACGTGCCCTCTCTCTCTCTCTGCAACTGCAAACTACAAAATCTACAAGAATCAGAAGGTCAAAACCCATATATTTCAGTTTATCTATTGTCTGCAAGAATCAAAAGTTCAAAACCCATATCGGCATATCATTTCAGCCACCAACTTGCCGCCTTGCCGACTCACCCACCAACTCGCCCTTGATAATTGCATCGTAGGGCTCTCTCGATAATTTGGTATGTTCCATAAGTTTATGGAATACTGGAAAAATAGATTAGGAAACAGCTGGAGTTTAAAAATTAATTTTGAATATTTATGCAACAAAAGTCTTGAAAATAAATATCATACAAGTTGTTCAAAGCATGATTAATTTACTAATCATACTACAATCCAACCAAATTTAATCAAGTTGACACAGAATACTCAAACAATGCAAAAACTAAATTCAGATTTTCTCTTTGAAAATTTTATTTTATTTTACTACATTAGATCTAAACTCATAAAAAAAAACAAAAAAAATAAAAAAACATATATAGAAGGTAATAGAGTTGGGGTGGCTCAGATTTGCCTTTTGATCAAACATTGTGCCACACCGCAATGGCTGCAACAACAGTTGCCCAGTGAAAAAAAGAAACAATCTTTCACAGACCCTCTGCGTTGCCTTGCCAATATACGATCTAGCCTCCGATTTATACAAATACATAATCATCACAGCCTCACCATATAGGTTTAGAGAGAGAGAGAAAACTCAACTCTGGTTTGACTCGATCCGATCCTGACTCACCCACCAACTCACCGCCTCCTAAACTCACCCAACAGCCTCCAGATTCATAGTCAAACCAACCAAGAAGTTTAGACATCACAATTCCTGGCTCGACGACGGTGAACTTACCCAACAGCCTCCAGACCTCGTCCCCAACCACACTCTCCAACGACTCATCCGGATCTGATCTGGTCTAACCTCCTCCCCAAAATGAAATAGTGGATGTATTCTGGGTTTGAGAGAAAGCTCAGAGAAAGACACGGCTGCCGCAATGAAGTGTAGGGTTTGAAACTGAAGTGGTTTCCGATATATATATATATATATACAGTGAAGGTTAATTTGGTAAATATATTAACATGGCAGGGTAAATTAGTAATTTAATATATTAAACGGGGCGGGTATGGGGCAGGGATCTTAGTCCCCCACCCCCGCCCCGCAACCGGCCGGTTTTTTTTTTTAACCCCCATCCCCACCCCATTTAAGCAAACGGTTCTCCAAACCCGCTTTAAATGGGGCGGGGGCGGTTCCCCATCGGATTGGGGATTTTTGCCACACCTAGGTATGCAGCACTACCCAACAGTTTGAGCTTTTGAGTATTGAACAAGTATTCACCAGTTATAGTTGGTATTATAGTTAGACCCAGCTCTTCTTAATCCAATGTGACGATAAGCTCTCGGAGGGCGTCCGAGTCTTCACTCCTGGTAGATAGAGTGATCCAATAGTAAAAGAGTGTTGCCTGAATTCAAGTAGAGAGGGTTGTGGTGGTGTTGGGTGGAGGGCATTTTATCAAATTTTAAAAAGCATATGCATCGAAAATAATAATTTGTAATGGGCCAGCATGAGCTCCGCTCCAACACATGTAGACAACCTAAGACCATAATTGGGTTTGATTCATTTTAGTACTTGGGTTATTTTCCAATGGGTCAATTTATGTTGTGACTTTGTGAGCCAAGTCATAAAGTAATAAATCATATGCACCGTGCATGACGTATTGACCGTGAGCTTATGCCTTTTCAATAAATGTAGTCCTTTCAACATCCTTAAAGTAATAAAAAAATCCCACCAGGTTCAAACACACACGCTTATGTAGAGAATTATGTGAAAATTTGACAACCATACAAAGTACGAATATACGAGGCACCAACCACGTTCTTCATGCATTATTGAGGATTTATCCGAAGAGTTAATAGAAGAAAATTCTTGTGTTGATATTATTTTGTATTATTGAATAGTTACTATTACTTAGAGGAAGGAATCAGTGTAGTTCTTAATTTTTTAACACTTTAGCCCCTTCCCAAAAGGTTGGGGTTTGAGCCATGGAGAGGTACCCCTAAATATATTCTCTTGTTGAGTCGTGTGTATAAGTAGTGGCTGAACTAAGTAATTTCTCTATGCTATTCTTGTTTCCTTTCTCTATTTATTTATATTTTATTATTTACAACATGTATAATCATGATGTTACTACATATGGCTATTTCATTTTAACATAATCACATATCTCAGTGGCACATCAAAACTCGATGTTTTAGGTATTCAACAAAATTCGATGTTACTTGTCCGATACTTCTTAAACATATCTATAATTTTAAAATATATAATTTTATTTTTAACACATATGTGATACTTATCAATACTTCGACAACGTAATCAATACTTTTTATTACTTTATAACACATTTTTAGCAAGTTTTGAACATTAAAATATGACTTTTTTTAAACAATAATAACATAGTATAATGGATAAGAAAAGTTTAAATTTTGTTAAGTGATGACTAAGAATGCTTATTTTACGTGTTTTGAAACGAACTTTTATATTATAGTAACGATTGCATTTAGATTCATAATATTATAATAAATTGATATTTAAAATGTATTTTTTTTATATAAAAATATATTTATTATTATTTTTTTACATTGTATCGTATCTGTGCTTCCTGACTCTGATACCAACTGTAACGGGCGGGTTGTTTCGTGAGCTAACCCGAAATATAACTAACACCCAACTAATTTATTTATATTTCACTTCCGATCCGAATTCGGTGTGGGATAAGACTCCTCTTGTAACACTTAAGCTTTTGAGTTACACCGCGAAACACCATGCTCGTTACACCGCGAAACACCATGCTCGTTACACTTACCCACACTTACCCACTTGAGCCAACTTCTTGGAGTAGTAACAATCATCCTTTTCATTTTTTTTCCTCTCCCTCTCTCCCTCTCTCTCTCTCTCTAATAGAAACATTGTGCAACAAATACGAAATATTTTTTAATTTTTAAATAAATTAGAGTATAATAAAAATATTATTACTGCTTCTTATAAAATAAAAAACACAAAACACAAACTAATCTACTTGATTACTACTTAATTTTCTTATTTTTATTTATAGCACCATTTAATTGATTTATTTGTCTTCAAATTTATTTTAATTTTTGAATTATCTTAAAGGCTAATTGAGATTTGTTATAATTTAAAATGAGAGCTATTGAATCTCTCCAAGCCTTGCCCATTTTTATAAAGGGATAGAGGGATTATGTTTCCTTTTCCTTACAAAAAGTGTTTCCAAACACACACTGTCTCAAAGAGCCGTTACTTCTGAAAATAGCTCGGGATTTATTTTTAATTCTTTCTGTTTGGTTGTGAGAAAGTTGTCGGGAAAGCAAAGATTAGGGTTTTTAGGAGGCTTAAGCTTTTCCCTTTTTTTTTTTGGTCTTTTTCTTTAATCATTATTTGGGGAAATGGATAGCAGCAGCTTGGAGCAGACATTGCAGGATGGGAATCTTTATCGTCAGGTGAATTCTCTTATTGTGGCGCATCTTCGTGACAACAATCTCAATCAGGTATTGAACTGATCTCTTTCTTCAAGTTATCTTCAAATTTTCTATTTGGTGCTGAGAAACTGCAGGAAAATAAAACAAAACCTTGTATTTTCCTATATATATATATATATATATATATATATATATATTAATACATCTTCTGCTATGGTTACAGCAATCGTGGGACTCATTTGAAATCCACATTTGACACTCCAGTCAAAGTAACAGATGCACCAAACATTGTAGCTTTCAAATTTCAATAGTTTTAGGGAGATAGTGTATTAGGAAGTCTTGTATTTGATTGGTTAGACTAGTGATTGGCTAATTTACATAACAGAAGTGATTGGTTGTTGAATTGGAAATCACTTGATATTTAGTAGAGATTTTGGTCAAGAATTGGGAAAAACTAAGTATGGGGAAATTAGTGCATTTGTTTCTCTCACTAGAGAACAAACGTAACCAATTATTTTAAACAATGATTTATTTATGTTTCTATGGAATGCTTGGATGCTTTTGCCAAATTCCCTGGTTAGTGCTCTTGCATCTATTCAAGAAAACCATTATGTTGGTTATTTCTTGGCTCTAGGGAAATCATGCCGCCTCTTATTTTTTGACCCGATGATTCAATTCAGTACCCCCTTTTCATGTAACTGGATATTCGTTAAAGGAGAAAGTTCCACAAAGAAAGTAGGAATTATATGGAAACCAATCCAAAAGGGATACTAAATCAAGGTTGCCTTCCTACATCTCTCAACGAAAGCAGGTGCTGCCATTTGTTTTGCACAACAGACCATATCAATTTTTTTTTGAAGGGTGAGGATCGTAAAACTCTGATGTCAAAGTATGTAGAAAGGCCCGAACGAGAACTGGAGGGGGTTTGAAAGCTATTTAACTATTTTTAACATGAGTTTAAATTATACTAACTTTTGGCTTTTAACCAACTATAAAGCATGTAAAAATCATTGTAGAATATAAAATATAGTGCTGGGTCAATTGAACTTAGGTTGATAGATTTTGTAGAGCAAAACTGGATTCTGTAAATTTTATCCGAATTTCTAGCTTACATTAGAAATTTCCAAAAGTTAGTGTTAGTCACTTCTTTCCAATGTCAAAGAAGGAAATTCATGCTACATCAAAAGGGTCTTTCAGTAATCTTTGTCTACAAGGGCAAAAAGGTAAATTAACACATTGATGCCCTAACCAAATTAAGGTTCATGGATGCATAATTAGGGTTTCTAAGTTTACATGATTTTAATCTACTTTGATTCTCTAAATTTTAAAAATGAGTTTTTGGGAACTTCCTGAACTGAATATTTTTTAAAGTATTAAACTGCAGTAGACTCAATCAACCGAGGATTCGATCGAGGGCTTCTGGAGTATTATTCATCGGCGCTTCTTTTCTGATTACTGTGTTGCCTAGATTACTATGTTGCCTATATATATGCGTGTGTGCAGAATAAATAAATAGAGAGACATAAAAAGAAGCAAATTTGTGAGAAGCCGATAAACGGCCTGGAGACCTTCAGGGAAATGTTTGGCATTATGTGTCAGGAAATAACTGGGGGATTCTTGGGTAGAGTTTGTTAACCTAGTTTGTACTCTCTTTCTCACATAGTGGATTTTGGTTTGCCTGGACTAAGTCCCATGGTTTTTTCTCCTTGGGATTTTCACACAAAATTCTGGTGTCCTTTATTAGTTATTTACTTGTAACATTTATGAATTGAATATGCTCCTAATGCGATCTGCCCCTCTTTTAGGCTAGAAGTCAAAGGCCGAGCCGGGTTTGATTGTTAATTTTTAACTTCATGACTAGTAACATCCAGTCTTTGTTTGGTTGTGGGGAAATAGCATCCGGTGTTGAAATTCTTTGTTTTTAATTGAAACCAATTAATCAACACTCAGTATCATTCATCACTTAAAATTATAATGAGGAGTGAACAATAAAGAAAACTCTAGCAATTGAATATCTAAAATTCTAATTTTTCTCTCACTGCTTTTGATGCTCAGTGTATGCTTGTATATCTATGTGATAGATTTTCTGAAAACTTGGTGTTTATATAGAACATTGAAGTAGGGAAGGTTTAAGTTTAAAACAGTTTGGGTTATATTTTTAAACTTGGTCTGTGGGTTTCGATGATCATTAGTTGATTGAACTCCCCTTTCCTAGTTCAATTAGGATTTGGGTTTCCAAAAGAGTTAATGCATTCTAAAACTTACTTTAATGGATCAAAACATGTAATTTGAAAATTCTAATATATTCAATAAAATAGATGGTTTTGGTGAGTGCATAATTGGAGATTTGAATTCACCTTTTGTGTCCTTTTTGAAGATTTGAATTTATGGATTCGCCCTTGGACAAAGGTAACTCAACTAACTTACCAAACTTTTGAAACATAAACGAAATCTAGAATTAACATATAGATTTTGGTTTTATATGAAATTTGCCCAAATAAGTCTTATTGAAGTAACAATTTCCTACATAATCCTATGGTTGTATGTATTTATCAAAAAAAAAAAAAAAAAATCCTATGGTTGTATGTATATGGGAAGAGAAAACATCCCAACCCTTCCGAATGGATTTCCACACACCAACTCCTCCCGCAATAGAGACTGGACGAGTAGACCACCCGCCACTCTCCTCCCCAAAACGACATGAAAATGATATTGAGAGTGAACCAGTGAAGAATAGTTGCTCACGTCTTCCACCTACTGTCAGGCAGGGAAGGTTTCGACAGAGTGATTTAAAAGCAGCCAACTGGGATCTTTCTAGAAAATGATTGGAGAGAACCACAATAACCAATTCTGTATCCTCTCGATGGGTTTGGTTTTCCTTTTGGTATGCTTCTCCATATCCAAGAAGCATCTGATGGAATTAAGCCCCAGAGAGGACCATTGAGAAAAATAAGGTGTTAAGATCAGTATGCTCATAAGGTATCTTCACTGATATATGCCTCAATCAACAACTCCTTCTCACAACCTGTGTGTCCATAGGAGGAGGTTCTTTCTTCCTTGTGACATCATGTGATAACATAGCGCATAAATGCCATGCTATTCCATTCATAGTTTTGTGGTTACATATTAATGGGGAAGGCATAATTCATTGCTCATGCTCTAATTGGTGCTGTACTGGCAATTAAGTGTACAAACTGCAATGAAACTGGTATCGTCTGAATGGGCATTCATGTCTTGTATTGGCTAATCAGTAACCAGACTGTAATATGTAAGGTTTCATACATATATGTGTTGTATTTCTTTCATCTATATCCTCAGTATCCAAGTAGGAGAACTTATTTTGAAGATTTAGATTGGTGAAATTATGAATCTACTTTATAGGCTGCAAGTGCAGTAGCTTCGGCGACAATGACACCGCTGAATGCTGAAGCTCCTCCTAACAAGCTTCTTGAACTGGTTGCCAAGGTTTGTTTTTGTTTCCCAAGGCTTGTTTTCTCTGTTTAAATTGTTCTTTGGTTGTTCATGAAAATTATAATGTAAAGCAGTTTTTGGGTCTAAGAAGTTAACAGGGTCTTGCAGTGGAGAAAGATGAGACCTTAAAAGGGGTTCCTTCGTCTGCCTTTGATTCAGGCGCAGTGGTTCCTGCAGCATATGGTTCAATCCCAGCTCCTCGTGCTGTTGCTGTTGATTTCAGGTAATTATTTTTCAAAATCACAGTTTCCTTTCTATATTAGTGTCTATGTACTACTGTTGAGTTCTGTTGCTCATAATGCCTGATGTCGTGGTTTGTATTTATGCCATCTGGTGAAATGCCTATTGCGAAGTTTTAAACACCTGGCATTTAGAAATGGAAAGACTTGAGACTAATATTGTATCACTCAAGTGTTCTCGATTATTATCAGTATACTGGAGGATTCTGTGAACGTACTGAATAGTGAATACCAATGATAAGTAAGGTGACATAAAAGTGCATTACCCAATGTAAATTCAACCTATGCTGGGTGTTGGGAGGGGAAGACTGGAGTCAGACCTAACTTTCGCTATTATTTTGCACTAAGTGGTACTCAGCTGCTGCCTCATGCTTCCAGTCCAAGCTTTTACCATTGTATCAAGCAATGACCTCTACTAAGTAAGATGAAATGCTTTATTTAATTGCCTGACCGAGGACTTGGTTTCAGCTTATGAACGGTCGCAAATCCTATACCAGCCATTGCCTGTCAGTAATAGAGTACTAAGACCATAAGAAATCCAGCACATACTAATGGACACTATTCTGAATTACCTCCAGCCCAAGCAAGATACATGTATTACCTTTAAGCCTCTCAAAATTTAGAAGCTTAATCAACCATAAAGATGTTACAGTGAAACTGAATATTTTCTAACATGTGAATAGTCAACAAAAATGTTTAGCCACCTTTAAATTCCCGAGCACACATAATACCCCTCGTTTGAAGTCTCCAGTGTTCTCTATGCTGCTAATGTTGTAATAATGGAGGTGATTATCGAACAAAAATGGATTAAACAATGGAACACAAGTTAAAGATGTTATATTCACCATAATTTATTTATGAAAATGAGTGTAAAATATTTTGCTCAGAGATGATTTCATTCCTTTTGGACTAAATCCTTGGGGCAATAAGTTATGGCAATTGATGTTTAACGTTGCTAACTAATGGTATACTGGACTAAAGTCAAACTGCACAATATAATGTATCATGTAATTGATGGCAGGAATGGAAAGTTGAAGTAACCTGTAAAGAGTCTGAAGATTTTACAGAAAGTCTAAATTACCCACTAAAGCATTGAATTTGAAGATATTCCAATATTCCAAAATGTTAATCAATAGAAAGTGAAAAAAGTGGGAGTGCCTTGCAATTTACAACCTATTCCTTCAAACTGAAGGAAATATAATAAGGGCTCTTGCATTTAAAGTTACAGGAAACTTCGAGAAACCTATTTGTGGTGACAAACAGCATGGAAAGACGGAAGAAACTTCAAGAAGCCTATTTATAGTGACAAAAAGCATGGTAATAGTGAAACCTTTGTATTGCTTATTCTAACATTCATAACTCTGCTTGTTTATGTCACGTGAACTATTATAAATGTGTCACATGTCTACAACATGATACAAAAAATACATGTATGATGGATGTGTGACTAGAATGACTGTAGGAAAACAAGTGAATTTTCAAATACTGTAGGCTCACATCAAGGGTCAGCATTAATCCCATATCTTTTTGCTATTATGGATGAACTGACAAGATACATTAAGGATGAGATTCCATGGTATATGTTATATGTTGATGATATTATTTTTAGTTGATGAAACTAGAGAAGAAGTGCCAAATTGGAGGTTTGGAGTGAAGCTCTAGAATTAAAAGGAATTAAGATAAGTATGAATAAAACTGATTGAAGATTGAGGATCAAGAGGTACAAATATGTAAACGTTTTTGTTATTTAGGTTTAGTTATTCATAATAAAGGAGAAAGTGGAGATGATGTAAATCACATAATCAAGGTAGGATGAGTTAAATGGAGGATGTGTCTAGTATATTGTATGATCGGCGTACCCCACTAAGATTGAAAGGAAGTCGTATGAAACAGCTATTAGGCTAGCCGTTCTTTATAAAAAAAAATATTGGGAAGCCAAGTAACAACATATTCATAAAGTGTGTGTGGTAGAAATGTGAATGTTGCCAAAGGGCATCTAGCCCAATGGCATAACCTACTGTGATGTTATGGCCTGAATTTGGTTATGGGTCGTGTTGTGACCCATTTATGACCTGATGACCCGTTGATTGAGTTGTGTGGGAAATTTTTGACCCCTTTTTTTGTGTGCGTGTCGTGGGCCCTGTTTTAGTACTCTCTTGTAGCCCGATATATAAGGGTGTTTAGGGTTTGGAGTGGGATATTAAGAGATACTGAAAATCATAGAGAAAGAGAGAGAGAGTAAGAGCTAGTGTTTGGGCGCTGAAACTTGCAATCTCCTGTTTTTCGCATATTAGACCTTTCGCCGGATCTTCTCTGTGGACATAGACACTACTTGTGTCGAACTACACTAAATCTTTATGTTCTTTGTGTGTGGCGTGTTTATTTTTGTCATGTTTCGTGTTTGTTTTCTTGGGTTCGCTGTGTTTGTTGTAACACCTCCCTATCCTCAAAGAGGAGGGGAGGGGTTCGAGCCTTGGTGTGGGTGAAAAGGTGGGACCGTGGGTGTGAGTGTGTTTCATGCAAAGGTAAAAAAGAAATGTTAATGTTGAGATGGATAGAATTAGAAATGGACACATTCATGATAAGGTTGTGGTAGCACCAATTGGAGATAAATTAAGAGAAATTGGATTAAAGATGATTTCAACATGTATAAGGTAGATCACTAAGTGCTCTAGTTAGGAAGAGTGACATAGTCTACATTGAGGGTAATACTAGAAGAAGGAAAAGATCAAAAATAATGTTGGTAGAGTTGGTAATGAGAGATATAATAACATGTTGTTTGATTGAGATGACCTTAGATTGAGCATAATGGAAAAACAGGATTCACGTAGCCGATCCCAAGTAGTTGAAAAAAGGCTTTGTTGAGTTGAATTCAATTATGTTACGACAAATGCCGCAAACCAAGAACACAATCACGACAAAAAGTTAACACACCTCTCACAAAAAACAAAAAGATTTATGTGGTTCGACAAAGCTTACGTCCATGGTGAAGATCTAGCAAAAGATTTTACTATGTGAAAATCAAGAGATTACAAGTTTCAGCCCCCAAACCCAGCTCTATCTCTCTCTCTCGCGCGCGGGATTTTTAATGTTCTCTCTTTTTTCACCCCAAACCCTGAACACCTTTTTATACTTGGCTATAAGAGAGGTCTAAACAGGGTCCACACAAAGCCCATTTTTCGGGTTGAAACTGGGTCGCAACGCATCCTACGCCGAAGCAAAATTTGTGCCACAATATCACAAATTATATATGAAACTTGCTTACTAAATTATTTTATTGCATAGTTGTTCCAACATTAAAGGAGTGAATTGCCAATTATAAATATACTATTTAATCCTAAGAATTAATCCTAAGAAATAATAGAAGGATAATAACCCCAAGGGTCGGCTCAAGTGGGTAAGTCAATTGCTCTGATGCCTCATCAAGCATCAGATCTAAGGTTCGACTCCACTTGGGTGCAAACACCTTGAGAGATGAGAAAGGAGAGGGTGGGGGGGGGGGGGGGGGGGGGGGGGGGGGGTTGTTGAGTATCAACTATGAAAAAAAAAAAAAATTAATAATAGAAGGAGGATACTAAACGACTGTGAATGTTTTGATGCGTTCCCATTCTCTAGATTTGAGACTGGATAGAATTTATTCTTAGACACATCACCTGGCACATTTACGAGAGCTGAGTCCATGTAACTTAGATTCCTTCAATTATGGGACTAGATCTCTATGGCACTAAATTTCTATTTCCCCTTGATGTGACATAAAGCCAACCCATGACGAAGAACTACAATTGTGCTTTTCATTGAACATGCCATCTTAACTAAATTTGAAGGACTTATGTGGAGTGACATGGTCATACTTTACTTTGTTATATGTATATGATGTTTTGATACTAGCAACTGGATTCTTGATTGTAACATTTGTACAATTTTAAAAGACATGACCTGGTGTATGTCCTGCCTACGTGGCATGTTGGGAGAGGAAGACTGCTATGTGGGGTGCTGGGAGGAAAATACCAGAGATAGGCCTAACTTTTAGCATTATTTGGCACAAAGTGGCTGCTCTTATACTCGATCTCGCAACCTCACACTTGTCTGCCCAAACTTTTACCATTCCACCAAGCACATTTTTTATTTTGAATGTGGTTTAAATTCTTGCTATACTGCCAGACCTAATCATTGTTCAATCTTTAGGCTAGTTTTGGGGTAACACTTTTGGCTACTAGGATTATGTGATCTTGGGATCTAATTTGAGGAATAACCCTCCAATATAGTAGATCAACCTCTCTCTCACACTACACAATTTCTCTCTCGTTCTCTCACTGTTTCACACTTCTATAGATTTAGAATCATGCTTTTACTACTCCTGAGTCTCATTTTTTAGATTTTCTTTCTTCTCTCTCTCTCGTGTAATTTTTGTATTGTTTTTCTTAATAAATAAATACTGTAATTTGTAAATATATATATACTCATATATACATATATATAGATGCAGGGGATTGGTGTATATGTCAAATTTGTGTATGCTTCCAGATCCACTCTTGTATTGTATCCATTATCTTTCTGTATCTGCATCCAACACTTTCCAAATGGTTTATTGCTCCTTTGTTTATTGCTTCTGGCTTTGCCACTACTACTTGTTTTGAGGTGTTGCTTTACATGATCTTTGCAATCATGAGACTTTTGAGAGTTCTTGTTAATTGCTTCCAGCCAATGAATTTTTCTGCAGAGCAGTCATGGAAATGATTAGAGTTTGGAAATAATGGATTTTGGACACCTATGATGAAGAGAATCTTGGAGGCTGTAGTTTGGGAAGGCATAATTTGTGCAAGTACACGTTAATGGGTTGGGATTCTTGAATCAAGGATTCTAAGTTATTTCCCCAAAACTGGAAAATTAATCTTTGCGAACGCAATAGAAAAATTGTTGAAGTTAAAGAAAATTTCATCCGTCTTTAGCCAACAAATGGCCAGATATCATTGACATTCTGCTGGTCGCCTTGAGAATACTTTCCTGAAGAGTAAAAAGTTTGTGGAATTTCCTAGAAAAGAATTCATAATGTTTTGTTTTCAGGACGTTCAATAGAATACCCCAAATCCAAAACAGCATGAATTATAATTATTCTGTTCTTTAGATTTCCCAGCTGTCATCAACAAATACCCCACAAATTATTTTTCATTTTCATTTTTTAGTGTGGCATTTCTAGCTTCCCATTTTTCAATATCACACTCACCGATTGGCTTCCTATGCCAGCTCAAATTTTCTCTTCCTGATTCTTTACCTATCTTGTGCGGATGCATTGGGGCATCAGGAGCATAGGATTGGCAAATATGCTGTAATATACTGTAAAGAAATCCTAAAATAAAAGGTTTCTATTAGAAAAGAAAATGAAGTTCCAGAATAAACCTGCTGATCAGTCTATCTTTCCTAACAGTGCTGTGCATGATTCAAAAGGCTCATCAAAGAGTTTCCCAAAGCATGAGACACGGCATGTTTCAGAGCATAAGGTTTGCATCTACTGAAACTATATTGTATACTATATTTTTTTCTCTGTATTCTTACTATGGCCAGAGCTAATGCACGTAACTCACTTTCAGTCATCTAACTTAACTTACAAAACTGGTTATTTATGTTTTATAGAACATTGCCAGATGTGCAAGATTTAGTCCTGATGGGAGATTTCTTGCAACAGGGAGTGCGGACACATCAATCAAACTGTTTGAGGTGTTGATCTCTTTGTTACATGAGCAGTCATATGTTCAATTTGGAATCTAACTCATTGACCTTCATTTGCTTCTGCAGATATCAAAAATCAAGCAAATGATGCTGCCAGATGCTAGGGATGTTCCTGTGCGACCTGTCATACGGACATTTTATGACCATCTACAAGTATATCTTCATTAATATCTGGTGATGGTGGTTAATATTCCAGCTTCTGTGGGAATTTCTCCTGATTTTTCTTTTCAAAAACATTTTATCTAGCTAGAGCTGATTCAGAATTTCTATTATGAAATTTAGTACAACCCTGCCAAATTACTTTTAATTGAGAACCATCAATCAGGATTAGTCAAGCGAGCTAAGGTTTTTCGTAACTGGTGCAGAATTGAATTATAATGAATTTAAGGTTTTGACACCTAAGTTGGTGCAAGTCCAATAATTGTTAGAACTAGGCAGAACATTAACTCGTGAAATATAAATTTGAAGCATACTAAATTGATTCTAAAGTCAGTCATCAATGTTGTTAAAGTGGGAAACAGTTGTTGGGCAGTCTTTTGGAAATTGCTAGCAGTAAATGAACCTCCAAAAAAATGAAACGGGTGACAATTACTAGTATCTGGGGGATGATTGGCTTTGAAATATGAGTTTTTCAACCAAAAGTATGACTGTATTTTAGATTCTTGTACCTTTGTATTGAGAACAATAACAGAAGAGCAAAATTGCTCAAATTTTCTGATTTATTTTCTTATTTCAGTATGGTTTTCACATCCAGTCTAAAGCTGGCGCACTTTGGAAAGTGTGGACTGGAATTGTTTCTATAGCACATAACATTGAGAAGCGTCAAATTAAAAATAATTTTTACTTGAATAACTTGAGGTATTTAATGCTCACACATATCACCATGCACATCTTACGCATCTGATTTCCACACATATTGTTCAACTTCTGTGGAATAAGTCAAACCTGTTTCTCATAAACCTGTATTAAATACACATTTACCTGGAAATACAATCCTTAAGTAAAATAATTTTTTTATAATTATGTTACTCACTCATTTCAGAATGTTCTCTCTTGATGTTTGGAACCATGTGTTAAAATTCTATGGAGATCTTATCTTAGAATTAGATTCTTCTATGTTTCCAAAGCAGCACTTGCTGCAGTTTATTCGGCTTGCAGTTTTCCCACACACATTTTCCTACTTTGATAACTGATAAGTCAAATCTGTACCTTATGCACCATTCTCTGTTACCAATTTCAAAGAATTTTCATTTCCTGATAACTATAATCTTCCACTTTACAATGTGATTGACTGATGTTCAGAATACCATTAAATGCCACTGATATCTTAAGTCAGAGTTAGATCTTTTCATTTTTTGGTTTAGCCACGGCATGTCTAACTGCTGCTTAGGTTTGTTCATTCCTATTGGCATGAAGATTCGAGTGCTTTGTTCTTTAATCCTTATCAAAGTCCATGATCATAGGAGTCTTGTTACTCAGTCCTAACTAGTGTGTATATTCTGAAGAAAAAATTAATTGGTCACCATATTTGCAATGACAAGCTTCTGAGTTGCTTAACAAGGATTTTCCTGTTAATTCATTTTTGTTCATGTCAAACTTTGTTTATGTTGGACGCCTGCAACCTTGTTTGTGTAAATGGCCATATACGTCTTCAATCTTTTTTAAGATGTCATTTCCTGTTATATGTAAACTCTTTAGCTAAGTTCAATCGTCATGCTTTCTCTTTCAAAAAAATTGGAGGATGTGTCAGTATCTTTTATTATTGTCTAATGTTCTGTTGATACCGTTGCAGCCAATAAATGATCTGGATTTCCATCCTCAAAATGCTGTTCTCATATCTGGAGCTAAGGATCACACAATAAAGTATGACTTCTTTTCAATTAAATTTAAGATTGCAATTAACCTCTTTTATTTTTTATTTTTTGATAAGTAAATTTTATAGAAAAACCGCTCAAAAGAGGAGCCGCTCAAAAGGGGAGCGAGACCCAAGTACAAAATAACAAGGCCAAAACGCCTCAAGCCTTCAAAGAGGCCAAAAAAACAACCAACTCCTCAACAGATCGATAATCCCTCCCTGAAATCCAACAAAAAAGAGTGGAAAGAATAGAGAACTTAATCATAGAGATAGGCTTTTCCTTTCCATCGAAGTATCTCCGATTTCTCTCAAGCCAAATACACCACCAAACACAAAGAGGTGTAGCCCTCCAAGCATCCCGGATGAGAGTCCCCACTGAACACCCTCTCCAAGCCTCAATCAACCCTCTAGTGGAGCAAGGCATCACCATGGGATCCCAAATAACCCAATCATCAAATCCTAACATCCCCTAGCCATGCAACAATGAATTAGAAGGTGATCAACAGTCTCCTCATCACGCAAACACAAATAACATCTATTAATCACCACCTGGTTCCTCCTCCTCAAATTATCCTGGGTCAAAATCCTACCCAAGACAGAAGTCCACGTAAAGAAGGCCACCTTGAGGGGGGCCTTAGATCGCCAAATAGACTTCCAAGGAAAAAAGCCTCCAGCGCCTACCATAAGACACTTGAAAAAGGACCTCACCTCGAAGTGACCTTGAGGGTTGGGAATCCAAAGCCAACAATCAGAATCCCTAACTGTGATCGTCTGACGGTACAGAAGGTCCAAAAACCGGGTGACGTCCTTAATCTCCCAATCCTGGAAGTGCCTCCTAAACTGAACATCCCAAGTCAGTCTCCCGTTATCAAGATGATAACAGTCAACCACCAAGGCCTGCTTATTAGAAGCAATGCTGTAAAGTCGTGGAAAAGCGAGCGCAAGAGGAAAATCCTCACACCAAAGGTCCTCCCAAAAACTGATCCTCCTACCATCCCTGATTCGAAAACGAACATGCTTGCAAAAATTATCCCACCCTTTTTGAATGCTAGTCCAAACCCCCACTCCCCTAGGACCACGTCCCAGGAGAGAACACCACCCACCACTGCTCTCCCCAAATTTAAGCGCAATAACCCTCCTCCAGAGCCAACGCCTCTCCACCCCAAACCTCCAAAGCCATTTCCCAAGGAGAGCCTTGTTGAAAGGCAACAACCTCCTAATCCCTAAGCCACCCCTCCGAATAGGACAACAAACTTGCTCCCAACGAACCAAGTGAAACTTGAACTCCTCTCCTCTTTCCCCCCCAAAGAAAATTGCGCTGCAATCTTTCAATCCTCTCCGCCACAGATGAAGGAATCTGAAAGAGAGAGATGAAATAAGTGAGGAGACAAGAATGGGTACTCTTAATTAGAGTGACCCGTCCCCCCTTAGAGAGATACTGCTTCTTCCAACCTGCCAATCTTTTCTCAAATCTATCCACAACTGGATCTCAACTCCCCACACATCTCGAAGGGGTGCCCAGGGGCAACCCTAAATAGGAAATAGAAAAAAGCCAATGCGACAACCAAGAATCTGTGCCAACCTCTCAATCTCAGGGACCTCCCCAACCGGCACAAGAACACTCTTCCCAACATTCACCTTCAACCCAGAAACAACTTGGAACCAAACCAAAACACATCTCAGATGTCTCAACTGATCAGCATCAGCATCACAGAGCACTAAAGTATCATCAGCAAACATCAAGTGGGAAGTTTCCAACTGGCTAGCCATATCCCTGCCCACTCTAAAACCTCTCAAGAACCCTAACTCCACCGCCCTCTGAATCAATCCAGTAGGGGCCTCTATCACAAAAAGGAACAAGAACGGAGAAATAGGATCCTCTTGTCTCAATCCCCTCGAACTAGAGAAAAAACCGGTCGGAGCTCCATTAACAAGAACTGAAAAACGAGCACAAGAGATGCAAAACAGAATCCATCTCCTCCACCTCTCCCCAAATCCCATCCTCTTCATCAAGTAGAGGAGGAAACTCCAGCTCACATGATCATATGCCTTCTCGATATCCAGCTTGCACAAAACCCCCGGAATCCCACTACTCAATCTGGAGTCAACACACTCGCTAGTATAAGAACTGAATCCAAAATCTGGCGACCTCCCACAAAGGCATTCTGAAAATTACAAATGACACCATCTAATACCTTCCTCAATCTAGAGGCTAAGACTTTAGCAATCAACTTGTAAATACACCCCACCAAGCAAATAGGGCGAAACTCCCTGACATCCAACACCCCACCCTTTTTCAGAATGAGGACAATAAAAGTGGCATTCAAGCTCTTCTCAAAAGAGCCCTTGGCATGGAATGCATGAAAAGTACCCATAATCTCCTCACGGACCACCTTCCAGCTCTCCGAAAGAAAACTCATGGAGAAACCACAAGGACCTGGAGCTTTATCCCCATTACAGCTCTTCAACGCAGTCAACACTTCCTCTTCAGAAAATGGCTCCTCCAAAACAGAGCTCTCCTCACCCGATAAAGAGTCAAAATGAAGCCCTGCAAGCAAAGGTCTCCAGCCAGCTGATTCTGTGAACAATTTCGACACAAGGAACCTGTCAAGCCGAGAGAAAGTAACTCCCTCGCTACTAAAATGGCTCCTCCCAATCGCTCGACACAAGGAACCTGTCAAGCCGAGAGAAAGTCGGAGGAGAACGACCACTAGACCACGTAAAAGGACCACCCACCAAAGGCAAATCAATCAATCTCCACTCATTAATGAACTCTGAGAATGACTCCATTTCAAATGTCCATCTTCCCCCTGTCGACTTCTCAAAAGGAGAACGAACCACATTGAAGTCCCCTCCAATACACCAAGGCAACTCCCAACGTCTGCAAATCTCTCCCAACTCCTCCCAAAACAAATGTCGCACACTATCATCAGTAGGGCCATAAACACCGGAGAAGACCCAACGAAAAACCATCCTCTAACAGAGAGAGAACGCATGAAACAGAGAAGAGACCCACCTGAAAGTTCCCCAAAGAAACCCAACGGTTCTCCCACATGATAAGAATGCCACCCGCAGAACCAATTGCATCCAAAACAATCCATTCCACAAATCCCCCCCCCCCCCCCCCCCCCCCCCCCCACACACACACAAGCTTCTCACGATTAAATCTGTCGTCGATGCAATCTTAGTTTCTTGCAAACACACTACATGCCCACCCTCTTTCCGAATCACCGACTTCACAACTTTTCTTCTCTTCGGGTCATTGAGACCCCGAACATTCCATGAAAAAAGTCGTAGCTTCATGAGGAAACAGATGAAAAATCACTCCCACTCCTCCTTCCACCGTCCCTCTCCCTGGACCCCCTGTTCCTCCTTTCATAAGTAACAACATCAATGGGACTCCTCACCTCCCTCACCCCCACCTCAGCCTGCAACCCATCCCGTCTACCCGCCTTCTCCAAAATCTGAGCATCAATAACCTCCTTAAACAACCTCATTGCCTCTTCCAACCTACCTTCAAACGACACACCCAAAAGAGAACCCACCTCTCCACCCTTCTCTCTCAACCACTCCTCTTCCAAACTTCCCTTACCCACACCAACAGCTGATGCTTCCATGCACTCCCCCTCCGGCCCCATCACAGCCAGAGGGACAACACAGTCACAGTCAAGAACATCACCACCCCCTTCCCACTGAACTAAGCCCAAATCCCCTTCTATAAAGGAATTAGAACCTCCCTCCTAAGCAACAGAAGAGGAAGGGGAATCGTAGGTCAAAGGCAACCCAGCCTCCTCATTCAACACAGAACTTCCTGAATTGCTCTGCAAGCCTTTCACTGCCAAATGGTCCCGCAATTCCTTCAAAAACACATTGGCTGTTATATCATTCAGCTTAATTTTCACATCCCTTCCCACACAAACAGTAACTCCCTCGCTACTAAAATCACATAGCCGAGATGAGCCAATCCTAAGATCACAACCTTCACCCTGACAATCAACCACTGGCTCACCCACAAAAACTGGGGACAAACATTGAGAACCCGACTCCACCACACCTTTATTCAACCCCAAACACCTTCGAGGCTAAGAGGAGGAGGGAGAAAAAGGTTGAGAAGACGGTAGTCCATGTGAAAGACTTGACTTACCTGGAACAGAGTCAACCGGCTCTCTCAGAATCCATTTCTGCTTCTCCTTCCTTGACCACCTTCTACCAAAGGAATGAAAAGACACCTTCTTCTTCTTCATACGGTGCCCCTGAATAAGACTCTTAGCTCGTCTTCCTCCTCCAGAACCGTTAGAAACCACACCGGACGGAAGAACATCAGAATGTATCACGGCTTTAGCCAAAGGCTCAAAACGATTGCCCAACAATGGTACAGGAATGTCCTTAAGTGAATCCGGTCCGTCCCTCAAATCGCTACCCAATCCAACAGCCCAACTGCATCAAAATCTTTCTTCTGGGTGTTAATACCTTCAGCAGGTCCATTTGCAAAACAGGCCAAGTCCGAATTCTGGGCCGGCCCAAACGGGAGAGGAACACTAACTCCCAAAGACTTGGACATCGGTCCATCCTTAGGCCCATCTTCGAAGCCCAATCATTTGAAACAAGATGGGAACCAGCTGTATTCCACTTAAAACGGCCATTTCTTGTGTGCCACCCACTTGTATGGCCAGCAAAACTCCTCCTTCCACGCGCTTGCATCACGTGAAAAGCACCTCTCTGTCTTCCTCGATCCCACATCTGTACGAACGCCGGACTGCCAATCTTGGATACATATCCATTCCTCTGAGTTTCTCGGAATCCCATTTGCCGGCGATGATCAGATAAACCCGCCAAACCTTCGTTCCTTTTCTGAGTAAAAATCCGTTGAAAGCAATTAGAATTGCGAATCCAGAGGGCGTCCCTCCACTCCTTCCATCTCTGAAACTCCGTCAATCCCTTCTTTCCCATAGCATCCCACCTTAACCATTCGGCCTTCTTGAGCAAGTGTGAACCATCCCCTCCTTCGAGACTATCCATCGTCGACACAAGTTCTGGCGGCTTCTCGTCGCACACAGCAACCTTATAACAAAACCGATCGTCCTGGATGAAGACAAAAGAGGGACAAACCTTGCCTTCCGACACCGTGATGCGAACCCGTTCAGCATCCATGGCTTCGTCGGCTTCCACCCAAATAAATCCTCCACATAAATCCCCGACCGTCATGAACAAGGCATGACTCCAGAGATGAAGAGGGAGCCCATAAAGTGTCACAATCTTCAGCCCCTTACCTTTCAACACCTTAGAACACCCAACTCTGAAACTCCAATTGTCCACCCGTAACGTAGCCGTCCCCCAATCACGGCGCCCCTCTTTGAGCACCCTAGAAGCTTCCGCCGAGGATGGAAAACGAAACAACAGCAAAGAATCCGGCAGAGGTGACACCACAACTCCAGATGAGACCTTCCAAACACGAGTCGCCCAAGCTGCAATTTGAAATTTATTCTTGTTTTTATGGCTTTGTAATTTTTTTATGATAATGCAAATTGTTGGAGAAATATTTCATATTCTTTCATACAGGTGAATAATGCCCTTAATAATACAAGGTTCATATAACACTCGCTTTACTACTTTCAGGTTCTTTGATTTTTCAAAAACAGTAGCAAAGAGAGCATTCAGAGTAATCCAGGTTTATCTGTCTTCTCAACATAGAATTCAAGCTTCCTTCTTGAACATAAAAGTGCAATGTATGACTTTTAATTAATGTAATGCAAATTTTTAATCTTTTCCTTTTATTTTATTTTTTCCACTTTTTATATTTGTATTGATACAGGATACTCACAATGTGCGGTCTGTATCTTTTCATCCCTCTGGAGAGTTTCTTTTGGCAGGTAATTTTGTTCTTTACATTTACCCTTTTCAATTTAACCAATACGACATATTCTCAACTCAATTTAAGTCGATGAATAATTTTCCAACTAATTTGGGTAGGTTACATCAATCCATTTTTCTTATTCCACTCTAAGGCCAAAGCCTTATATACTATTTTTGGTTTTCCAGCCCTCTTGGCATAACCTTCAATGTATATATTATTAATCGTCATTGAACATAATCAAATCATGTTATGATTTTCTCATTTTATCTTTAAAATGATATGTCAACCATCTACCATGTTTTGTTTTTAGTTTATTCTTTTCTTGTTGTGTCTTGCCACTCATCCATCTCAACATTTACATTTTAGCAGAACTCATTTCATGAATATGCTGTTTCTTAACCGATCAACATTCTATCCTATTTAGTATGAATTTTGTCTCTTGTTTCCCATTCGTAAAATCCTTGCCTACTCGACCCCAAATAATTGGAAAAAGTTTTTTTTGACTTGAATTTTCATTTATCTTTTCCTAGAAAATTTAATTGAAGGATGAGATTTGGCATTTTTTATGGAATTCCTATCATGTGTCTCCTTTGTCTTTTCTACATTGAATTGACTACTAATGATGGTGTTTTTTTTTTTCACAGGGACTGATCATCACATTGCCCACTTGTATGATATTAATACTTTTCAGTGTTACCTATCTGCAAATGTCCAAGAGATTGGTGTTAATGGAGCCATAAATCAGGCAATTGTCATCAGCCACTATTTGTACTAAAATAATTTTTATTTAAATATCTCAAATGAATCCAAGAACGTTAAGGAAATTAATTTCATTTATGTGGTCACGCAGGTGAGGTATTCGTCGACTGGTGGCATGTATGTAACAGCATCTAAAGATGGTGCTATAAGGTTATGGGATGGGGTAACAGCCAATTGTGTGCGCTCCATAGTTGGTGCACATGGAACAGCAGAAGCCATCAGTGCAAATTTTACAAAGGATCAGAGGTAGAGTTTACATAATGGCTTTTAAGTTTTGAAGACACACGTGCAGAGGTGCTTCAGAAATGGCCTCAACAAATTGTTACTTGCAAATAACATGTACATCCACACCCAGAGTCATATTTATATACGTGTATGCACACACATGCAAACAAATGGTGTATGTAGTGTATCTTGAGAAAGTGTGCGACATTTATGCAGAACAATTATGTTATTGCCATATAATGCTGCTTCAAGATCTATAAACATAATTAATGGAATACGAGGCTCCTGATATGTTGTCTTGTAGTACGAAGAAGCACAAATTATGGAAGTATTTGTCTTTTTTAGGCATTAAGCTACTTTTGATGCTGTGGAGGTTGTTGTTGACTGACCTGTTAAATGATTGAATTTTGTGCCCTCTATGCTGTGGCTTTGCAAAATTGCATCATGACTAACATGTTAAGTTTCTAGGTTTGTTCTCTCTTGTGGAAAGGATTCTTCTGTAAAGCTTTGGGAAGTCGGCACTGGAAGATTGGTCAAACAATATCTTGGAGCTACACATACACAGTTGCGGTGCCAGGTGTGTTTTCTGGCACGGCCTTTGTCTGAGAAATTGTACTGCCATGTGTTGTTTGCATCTGTGTCTATGTAAACTTATCTATAATCTACTTTCAAATTGAAACCCTAAAAATACTACACTCGATCAAAAGACACTAACAGTTAGTCACTATGCATGTAGATTAACATTTGCATGGCCATTTGGAACTACTTAATAAATGATTAGGATGACAGATGCAACAAATGTGAAAAATGCTGTACTTATACAAGGATAGATTTTTTCTATCATTACTATTTGTTTGCTTGGAGAAGTTTACTTGCTACAACATAATAGAGAGAGAATGGGTGTTACAAGTTTGTCTAGTAATTTTAGTGTTCGTAACAAATTACTGTTACCCTATTTGCGGTTGATCACTATGGCACAAAACAAAAGCAAGGACCTGTTAGAATTTAGTAAGTTTTTCATTGGAAAAAAGGAGAAAAAAAAAAAAAAAAAAAAAATCTGTCGACTTGGGCTGTCAACTAGGACATGCAATGCCCGCGTGAATACTGAAGAAGTTGTGGTGGGTGGTTTTGTAGTCTGATTGAGGTTGTACGGTTTTTATTTTTTTATTTTTTTATTTTCAAATGAATATGGAGCACAGTTGCTGGAATAGCACATCAGATGCTTAAAAATAGTTAAGCCTTTTTTATATATATATTTTTACTTTGAATATTGTAGATAAAGATTATTTTTTTCTTTTTTTCTTTCATGTGAAGATTTCTCCATACAATTTCTTTTAGCTCATTGATTGATGTATACACTCACTTCTCTACAATCTGAAATGAAAAATGAACTCTACTCGAGTAGGAAAGACTATTATGGACCACATGTGCATATAATTGGATGCTTTGTATTATTCTTTGCAGGCGGTTTTCAATGATACAGAAGAATTTGTACTCTCCATAGATGAACCGAGCAATGAGGTGGTTTACCTTCTTGAATTGATAGTTTATGTACCTCAGTTCATTCATTAGCACCGACTTAATGGGTTTTGATTTCGGTTTCAGATTGTCATCTGGGATGCCCTAACAACAGAAATGGTGGCAAGGTGGCCGTCCAACCATATTGGTGCTCCGCGTTGGCTGGAGCACTCACCAACAGAGGCAGCGTTTGTTTCCTGTGGGATAGACAGGTCAGTGCGGTTCTGGAAGGAAATCCTCTAGGTCCAAGATAGAGGAGTTGACGTCTCTCAACAAGGAGTTGCAAATTGAATACACAATTCGCTTAAAATTTTTTTTTGGCGAGATTTCGCTTTGTAAAACTACATAAATGATGGAAACAGATGGTCTTGCCAGCAGTTGTTTTGTTTCTCAGACTTGTCAAACTACCGGAGTTAAACGCTGTCAGGTTGTGTTTTTAATAAAATCTTGTAGTTGTATTTTATGATTTTTTTCGCATTTTAGGAGCTCTGTTGCAGAACATTGTCCTTTTCTTATTCTCCACTGTAACAATAGCTGGCTTAATGGAATTACAGTAATTTTTTCCTTTTAGACTTGACTTTTCCCCCTTTTTCTTCCTGGTCCAATCATTTTTCTCGAAGGTCTTCGTTACATATATGGGCGGCGCGGCCGTGGGGAGTTCCATTGTCGTTTGACAACTGAGACACACCGGAAACTATTCTCGGAGAAGTTCAAATCCGTTGAGGCTTCCAGAAATCTAGGTCTCGGTCTGCCTTTCAATCTTGCTTGATAGAGAGGGCAGAGGTTGAGAATTCTCGGAATAAAGAGCTGACCGCCATCCTCTGATCGAGGCTACCTAGGCTATACGAGCGAAGGAAGTCACTACCGAACGCAATGGGTCTGTACGCAGCATGACATTTTTCCTTTTTCTTTTTCCTTTTCAGTGATCTGCTAAGCCACTCTTGTCTGGTAAACAATGAAATGGTTTGTTCCGGGCAGTCTATTTAGGCAGAAATTATTAGTTAGTCCGGGACTACGTGTCTCGATCAATTTGAACAAATCATGCAACCATAAAGTAGAACGAAGCTAACGCATTTGGTTGAATGGCTGCTTATGATTGGTTGGGGTTCCCGGACTACCTAATAATTTTTGCTATTTAGGATCTGTTTGGCAACCACTTTTGCTTCATATTTTTTTTCTTTTCTTTTCCGAACAGTGTATTGTAGCGAAGTAAAACACAAATCATGTTTGGTATGCATTTTGAATAGTACCGGAGCATTTTTGAAAAAGAGTCCAAAGTACTTTTTTATCTCATATTTTTGCTTCTAAAAATCTTTCAACAAATTTACGTTACCAAATATGTTTTTGAATAGTATTGAACACACTTCAAAGCAGAAACATTATTTTTGTTTCGGACGGATCAAAGCAAAAATACAAAGCAAAGGCCTTGCAGCTGGCACAATGAACTCTAGCTCCTCCTCAATCAATCCCATTCATCGAGGCTTTGAGTTGTGCTGTAAAGGGGGACCATGAACACCAAGACAAAAAAAAACTTGGAACAAGAACATGCAGTTGACAGAGTAACAGCTTTATTTTAAGCAGGAGACTTTTGAATTCGCTGGAAAGGAGAATCGTTACACAACTTGCACTCACGTGAATATGAATCATCTCCAATATTTGACCGACAGCTTTAATTTACGTTTTGTGTGTGTGTGTGAAAAAATCTAACAAGAAACAAATGCCAACAGAAGTCATATTTTAAGAGAGTTGTTTTGAGTTTTTGACTTAGAAATTTAGAATCCATAATTTTTTCAATATATTCTGACATCAGTCCCATTTAAAAAATTCAATTAGGGATTGGTTGGCTTTTGAATAAATAAGAGTTTATTGGTCCCTTTCTGAATAAATAAGGGTTGATTCCACTGACTTCTTTTAAATAATGGATTTTTTACTAGCAAAATGATAAAAATACCATCTGATAATTGATGGTTTGACATTGAAAAAAATAAAATAAAATAAATAAATAAAGAGGGGAAAAACCTGATCATCAATTTTGACCTAGTTTTACCTTTTTTTTTTCACAAAAAAACCTCAAAATACCCTTAATTCCTGCATATAAGTGTTTTTTGTTTTTGTTTTAAGGGCATTTTAGATATTTCAGTTTTTAAATTGAAAAAATGTTCTTATTTACTCAATTTAAAATATGCAGGGGGATTTTGAACGCTAGGAAATTTTTCTGCACATTCTGTCTGTATAGCCACTCCAATTTTTAAATAAAAATAATGTAATAATACATTGAACTACAACTCTTACTTAATTACTGTAGTTATAGATCTATCAAGCTCATTCAATTTAAAAACTTACTTTCTCGAATTTAACTTTTTTTGTTTAACGAGGAAATATTGGTATTTTAAAAAATAATTAGTTTTCCCCCTAATAAACTTTACTTGAAAGTTGTTAGTAATCTATGATACAGTGATAATTTCAGTAAAAAATTGGTAGTAGTCTATGAAGAGAGAATTTCAGAAAAAAGAAAAAAAAGAATAAGAAGAAGAAGAAAAAGGAACTAGGAGAATAGTACTCAGAGCAGCACCAAGTAGGATTTTCTTTCAGACTTTGGATGATTAAAATTTGTGAGACTTAAAAGAATATTCATTCTTGTTAGAATTTGGAAAGAATTTAAAATCTTTATATTTCTTATTATTATAATTCCTCAAATAAAATTCAATTATTATAATTTTTTACTTAATTTTTTTTAATAGAAGTGGATCATGTAGTTTTGATTCGTATATCCATCTCAACATTTACATTTATATCAAACTCGCAATATAAGAAAAATAAAGGACCTACTAAAAGTAAAAAGTAAAAAATAAAAAATAAAAAGTGTCATAAATAAAAATGAAAAATAAAATAAATAAATAAAGAGGTATTTAGGGGAAAAAAAAAAAAAAAAAGGGCCAACCGGGTTCGAACCGGTGACCTCTTGATCTGCAGTCAAATGCTCTACCACTGAGCTATGAACCCCTCTTGTGAGTTTGGAATTAATTTTTACTTTCATATTGCACATATGATATTAGAAATCATCAAACTTTAACTTTATTTTCCATCAACAACATATAGCCTTAAAAATATAAAAATTATGAACTTTAATTGTATTTCGAATTCCTCAGAGTGGTCGGGTCAGTGGACTTACTTGATTTGTAACTTTGAAAATAGTTTTCAAGAATACAGATAACAAAAAACCATTTTCAAATAACTATAAAAGAGAGTTCCCTAAAGACATGTCTTTTTCTAACCGAGTTTTTTAGAAAACTAAATCAAGTAGAAATTTTTGTACAGTTTTCAATTTTCTGTTTAGAAAACTGTTCTCAGAGTTACAAATCAAGCAGGCTCACATTTAATTTTTGCCCAAATTCTGCCCAAAATAAATTCAAATTCTAAAGTCTAAATCCAATCCCAGTTATAAATTTTTTGGCCAAGAGTTGGATTGTTAGGATTAGGTATACCCAAGTTGTAGATCTATGGCTATCTTAAAATGTGAGAACCCATATTTTTTAAATGTTAGAAGTAAAATATATAAGTATTAATATAAATGTATATTTAGATGTGTTTGTGTGTGTGTATGTATATATATATATATATATATAAGTGAATGTGTTTTTGTATATATAAAAGTGTGTTTATGCAATGGACTATTATTATGATTTAAATAGAGTAATATGAAGAGTAATACAATTATTGTTTGATACATAATAATCTAGAGGTTACCTGGCTGCATTCATTACACAATAATTATATGACTTTAGATATTTTGCATATATTATACATTAATTACACAATAATTATATGCCTTTATATATTCTTAATTCACCTATAACTAGAAATCTAACAAAATTAAGTGGATTAGTTGGGACGCTTTGTGTTAATCTATGGAGTCTGGGGGTTTGAGATTTAAGAATGTGGAGGCTTTTAACTTAGCTTTTCTGGCTAAATTGGCCTGGCGTATGGAATCCGGCGATGGGTTTCTTTTATACTGCTCCTTTAAATAGAAGTATTTCAAAGACTACTCTTTTGTGAAGGTCTCTAATTGTCCTTCTGCGTCATAGGTTTGGAAGAGTGTTTTGTCTGCTCAGGAAGTTATTAAGAAGGGCATGAAGTGGCAAATTGGTGATGGTTCTAGTGTTCAGTGTTGGAAGGATAATTGGCTCCCTGATTTAAAGAATTCTTTTGTTACGTCTTCTCCAGTAGGGGCTTCTGTTTCCTTAGTGGCTGATCTTATTCATCAGGATGTGCATCAGTGGAACTCAGATCTAGTTTCCCGATCCTTTAATAGACAGGATTGTGATCTCATTTTGCAGCTTCTTCTCAGTTTGAACGGAGGTTCGGATCGCAAGATTTGGGGGGCTTCCAAAAATGGTTGTTTTTCAGTCAAGAGTGCCTATTCGGTTGCGTCCTCTATTATTTCTTTTATTTTTCCCATGCATTGTGATGAAGGTAGTAGTTTTACTGTGGGCAAGAGTGCTATGTGGCGGTCTGTTGGGGCTGTCTGGGCTCATCGGATTTATGGCAGAGTCTTCATGATAGAATTCCGGTGAATGAGCATCTGTTCTTTTGGGGGGCGTTGGTTTCTCCTTGCTGCCCTGTGTGTGACGAGGGAGTGGAAATGGTGGACCACCTTTTATGTTCTTGCCTTTTTGCGATTACGGTGTGGAAGCTTTGCCCTTTTCGTATTGATTTTGGTGGGTTGTCTCCTTCCTTTGGCCGATGCGTTGGGTTTCTATTTGTGATAGGTGGGCTGATTCGGGGGCGGCGGCTGATTGTGTTGGCCTTGCTTCTTTTGTTTGCTGGTCCTTGTGGAAGTGTAGAAATGATTTCATGTTTAATCGTAAGCGATGGGATCCATTTGAGGTTAGCCTTAAAGCTCTCCATGCTTTTCAGGAATTTCAAGGTATTCGGCATCAATCCCAGAGTTTCAGTCTTCCCTCTTCATCTGTTTCGCTTCCACCGGCAACGTGGTTAGCCCCTGACTTTGGTTTCTTTAAACTTAATTTTGATGCCTCTTTTAATCATCCTCACCGCTTGTGTGTGTGTGTGGGGGGGGGGGGGGGGGGGGTGTTGATCCTTCGCAATCATCTGGGTTATCTAGTTAAGGTTGCTATCATTTTCTTTCCCTATGTGCACAGTCCGTCTATGGCTGAGGGTTTGGTTTTAATGGAATCTTTGGTGCTTCTTAAGAGGTGGGGTTACCATAATGCGGTGGTTGAAGGGGATTGCCGTCCTGTTATGCGGTTGCAGGCTTCTGTGGCTGACTTGCACGTAGTCTTTCATGACGTTTCTTCCCTGCTTCTTGAATGTTTTGGTTCGTCTCTTGCGTGGATTCCTCGTGGAGGTAATTCAGTTGCTCACTTGTTAAGCAAAGTTGCTTTAAAAGCCGAATGTGGCGATTTAGAGTGGAGTATTTGGCCCTCGTGGCTGTGTATTACTCTGCTCCCTAACTATGTTGTTTCTTCTGTTCCATGTATTTGAAGTTCTGTTTGGTTAAAAAAAAAAAAAAATCTTTTCCAACTGGGCGATTGTACTCACCTTATTCT